TCACACAGCAAGGATGATGATGTCATTTCCTGGATTGGGGTATGATTGGCCAATCCTCTTCATGCCAACCATTTCATTAATCAATCAATTAAGGTTCATTGAACAATTCTGATCAAATCAAATGTTAAAAGCGAGGTATCCAAACAAAAATAAAATCAGAAGTTTTAAAAGAAATATACATAATGCAGTAAACTCACAGCCTATGCAGGATTATGTTCATACTAAATCATGACTAAAACCAAAATCATGTATCATCAAAATGCATTGACTATACTGTATATGTATAGTCAAAATCAAGACTAAAACCAAAATTGTGTAAAATCAAAATGCATTGGGTTCAGTGGTAGGCAGGATTGACAAAGTTATTTCCCCCAAAAAGCTGTCCACCCCCTTAAAAAAAATTCCCTATGTGTGTAAAGCTCAATGTGCACAAACTAAGTGCACATAAGTTGTGGGTTTACTGTAAAAACACATAACAAAATGATGTGCTGCCCTGGGCTCCTTTGGGAGGAAAGGCAGAATGTAACTTTAATACATAAGCAAATATTAAAAATACATGTATGGGTTGGTTTGATTTTTTTTTATTTATTTTTTTGTAGCAGGCGCTGAAAACAATACAGTGAAGGCTCCTACCTAACATTAATGGGCAGGGACTTCCAGAGAGTAGGTGCTGCCACAGTGAGGGATCAATTCCTTGTAGATGTGAAACATACATCATGTGATACTTGTAAAAGTGCCGCTTCCACAGATCAAAGTAATCAAGTGGGCACATATGGGGTAAGGCTATCCTTCAAGTAAACTGGTCCCAAGCTGTTGAGAGCTTTAGATATGACCATACTGTATAATAGCTTATATGCCATAATACCAATAGCACCTTGAATTTGGCTCGGTAAGAAATCAGCAGCTGTGCAGATCTCTGGGCAGGGGTGTAATATGCTGACAGGGTCTCGTTCCCGTCAGAAATCATGCTGCAGTATTCTGCACTGATTGCAGTTTCTGGGCCAAACTCAAAGGAAGTTCTTTATACTGGACTGCATTGCACTAACATAGTCTTGAATTAGTGTGATCAAGCTCTCCCAGTCCAGGGAAGGTCGCAACTATTGTACCAGTTGTTAAAGAAGCTGTTCTCAAAGAGAAAAAGTCACTAAGTAGGCGAAGCAGACATAGAGATGGGTCATATTAGCATGAATATGCCACTTTATTTTTTGGAAAACTCCCAAGTCACTTTGTTATGGTAACCAAAATGTTGCAAAATAGCCCGCAAGCATTTGAGTCAGAACTGTCCATCAGGCTGGATAATAAGCAAAAGTTGTGTGTGTGTGCGCGCGCGCGTGTGTGTGTGTGTGTGAGAGAGAGAGAGAGAGAGAGAGAGAGAGAATTTAGTTTGATATTGAAGCTGTGGTGTCTGCACTGGTCAAGGTGCCATAAATGGTTCTCTTCCTCCCCATTTTATCTGCACAACAGCTCTGTGAGGTAGGCTAGGCTGAGAGTGGTTAACTGGTCCAGTGAGCTTCATGGCTGAGTAGGGATTTGAACTCTGGTCCTGCTGGTCTAGCACAATAACCACTGTACCACACTGACATGGCCTCACAATTTACCACTACTGCACTTCTTGGCATCTTAAAAGAAGGCACTGGAACTGAGGCCCCAGAACCCTGGTTCAAAGTAAAGAAAATTGATTTAAATTTAACATATTAAAAAAAAAATGTACACAATAATATCCAACAAGTAAGAAACAAAATAACCTCGTCTCTTTCACATTCCTGCTCAGCACATGGACACCTCATCCCCCCCCCCCCCAGCTTGCTATACAGCACATTTATGGCATGGATGTGAAAGCCCCACCTGCAGCCATCTACCCATTCATATTGCAGCTGGGCTCACCACTACTCTTATCTGCCTTTGCTTCAGGGCACCAACTACAATCCAAACCAGAGATGCGGGAGAAAATTAATCTGGTTTGCATCTGAAGATGAAGCTATCAAATGTGCATGTTCTGAAACTGCCTGAGAACTGAAACCCAGTGCTCTTTTGCATTGTTCTCTTCTCTGATTTTGCAAGGCAGTTCCCCAGCCAAACGATGTTTACAGCATTGCATATGCTAGGGGAGATGGTGCATAAAAACAGATACATTTGCGAAAACGGCACATAACGTGCATTGTCTTAGGATAAACTGTTTGCAGAAGTGCGTGCATGGGTCAAAACGGCACACGGAGGTGTTTATTAAGAGAAATCTGTACTAAAATGCTGGTGAATTTTCAGGAGGATTTTTAAAAAAATCTCAAATTGCTGCAGAAATGTGGAGAAGCCAAAAAACTGAGAAACTGAGCTAGATCCATGAGCAAAGGCCTCATATGAGCCCATTGCAGGGAAGTGGTGGAAACATCTGGTCTTGTGCTAGAGGGGAAATCCTAACTGGTGGTCAGAACAGAAGGGGGGGCAGGTAGTTTGCCTGGAGAAGATATGGTGACTGGGCTTAGACAGGGCCTGAAGCCATCACCCAACAGCAGTGGGTTGGCTCAGGATCCAATGGGTCCTGGGGTGGCTCTGTCCTTCCCTATCCTTGGAATGGCCCATGTTGTGGCTGGCTATTTCCAGTGGGGGGGTCTCACCAGTGGCACTCCCCCCTGCCTGTGCTGGCAGAAGGGGAAGGTGTCTCATGCCTCAGGCAGGAGCTGGCGGGAGGCTGTTGGATGGGTGAATCCAACCTCCCTCCCCACAAGTGGGGCAACAAGGGTTTTGGACTTCTTTATTAGTGGTTGTGTGAACTGATGCTCAGCCACACACGTACATGGGGAGAAAGGTAGCTAGAGGGAGAGGCGGGGAGGGAAAGAGAACGATGTTAATGGTATTATTATGTCATCTGATAACAGCATTCTCTGAGCGGCTTACTATAATAACATTAAAGTACAATAGCTTTCATGAGTTATTAGGTTCCGCTAAATTAATAACCACTGCTAGACCGATCACTCTTTGTCTAGTTCTCTTGCAAAATCATCCAAGCTACCAAACAGTGCCTGAGAGAGTAAGGTAAAGGTAAAGGGACCCCTGACCATTAGGTCCAGTCGTGACCGACTCTGGGGTTGCGGCGCTCATCTTGCTTTATTGGCCGAGGGAGCCAGCGTACAGCTTCCGGGTCATGTGGCCAGGATGACTAAGCCGCTTCTGGCGAACCAGAGCAGCGCATGGAAATGCCGCTTACCTTCCCACAGGAGCGGTACCTACTTATCTACTTGCACTATGATGATGAACTGCTAAGTTGGCAGGAGCAGGGACCGAGCAACGGGAGCTCACCCTGTCACGGGGATTTGAACCGCTGACCTTCTGATTGGCAAGTCCTAGGCTCTGTGGTTTAACCCACAGCGCCACCCGCGTCCCACGCATGAGAGAGTACCTGAAGGTAAAAGCTGGACATAGTCTTCCTCTTTGCCAACTTTCTCTGCTAACCTGGGATATGTTCTCTTAGATCATGGTTCCGCAAACTAAGGCCTGGGGGCTGGATCCAGCCCAATTGCCTCTGGATCCGGCTCGCGGATCAGTGTGGGGATTCTGATCATTTGGGCTGCACCATTCCCCCCCCCCCGTCTCCCTCCAAAGTCTAACTTGTGTGTGTGAATATTAAGGAAGAATAGCAAGCACACACACAAAGCAAACCTGCTAACTTATTGACAGTTAAGCATTTATATCACTCATACAGAAAACCCTGATGACTCACTTCTGAAATGAGTGACAAATGAGTGGCATTCAAATGCCAAAACTGATCCAATGATTATTCATTCTCTGAATCTTCTCTCTGGTTTAGTCACCTTTCGGTCTGCCTACAGTAAACCCAGTTAGGCTCCTTTACAGAGAAACTAGCTGCACCTAATTTCATTGAATGAAATCAGTGGTATTTTAGGTGCTCTTCAGACAAGAGACACAGATGTGTGGTAGCCCCTTTTTTGTGTGACACAATCCCATCTGGTGATTGGGATTCTGTATAGTCACAGCCCCAGCTGCATGGACTTGCTTCAGAGAAAAGCAGTCAAAAGGCAGAGGCAGCTGTGAATAAGGGCACTTTAGTCACAACTGATCTAAGTCACTGATTTCAATAGAACTTAGAAGCAATTAGCTCAGAAACCTCCAAGCGCCCCTCTTTCCCAGGGACAGTCCTGGATTTACAGAAGCCACCCCAGTTTCTGATTTGATTCTAGAATGTCCCCCTTTTCCTTTGGACACCGCTGTTTTTCACTGGAGAAATATTGGAGGGGATGGAGTTATGAGACCCCTGAGCCAACCTTTAGAAGACACCTGAAGGCAGCCCTGTATAGGGAAGCTTTTTATTTTTTAAAAATGTTAGATGTTTTATTATGTTTTTTATATATGTTGGGAGCATCCCAGAGTGGCTGGGGCAACCCAGTTAGATGGGTGGGATATAAATAATTAAATTAGTATTAGTATTATTACTCCCTATTTTCATTGGAGAAATGTTGGAGGGTATGTTACCTTCCTCTGGATAGAAACCATAGTTTTTACATGGGGAAATCACTATTTACACTAGACGTGTCTTTTATGCCAGTTACTCGCAGGCTGATGCTATGCGTTTTTCTTCCCAGGGACTTCAGTCACTTTTGGGAGCATGGGAGGAGGGATGAGTTTCTAAAGCTTTCTGTCTTTCCAATGCTGCTGCTTCAGAGTGGCCAGAAGCCAAGAGCAGAGGCAATGGGACATCTCAGAAAAGAGCTGCTGCAACAGCATTGGCATTGGGCAAGCAAACTTCCTAGTACTACCAAAAGGTTGAAGGAGACCATCTTCCTTTGATCCTCATAACACATTTTCTTTTTCCTCTGCCTGTCCCCACATACCTGAATCCCACAGCCAAAATCTTGAGAATCGTGGGTGGTGTGAGGATGCAGGGCTGAACACCCCCCCCCACTTCCATGATCTTCATTCATGGGTGCCCTGATTCACCTCCCTGATTCGTTTATATATTTGGTTTTTACATGCTGCTTCACAAAATAGCTTAACTCAGTTGGTTAGAGTGTGGTGCTGATGACATCAAGATTGCAGGTTCGATCTCCATGTGGGAAGGCTGCATATTCCTGCTTTGCAGGGGGTTGGACTAGAAGATCCTTAGGTCCCTTCCAACCCTACAATTTTAGGATTCTAGGATTTCCCCCAAATAGCCTGGTGGCCAGTCTCTAAGACCTGATAGGCATAATCAGGCCTGTGGCCTGGAAGGTCCACACCAGTGCTTTGCAGCAACCTAACCTGGATGTAACCAGAGTATGTTTTAACTGTGGCCAGAGATCATCTCCCCAAGAAGGGATATGGCTGACATGCTGGGCAAAGCTTATGGAAGGCACTACAAGCAGCAGTAGCCCAGGATCTAAACCAGGTGTAGGAAAGCTTTGGCCCTCCAGATGTTGCTGAACTGCAACTCCCATCAGCCCCAGCAAGCATGGTTCATAGCCAGGGATGATACACAGTTGAACAACATCTGGGCTTCCACAAACCTGATATAAATGCTTCCCCCAAGCTTTGCACCTCTTTCTTAAGGGACAGTGCAGCCCCATAACAAAGACTGACTCAACAGCATTCCCTAAATCATAGGCTGACAGCGCCTCTGTCTAATGTACAGTGATCTTCAAAAAATTTTTTAGCTTTCAACCAGCCTATTACTGTCTCAGGGTCTGCTTCCTAAGTTACGGAGAGTGTCCTCCACAGCTTATGAAAGGAGAGACCCGGGTCTCAGCTCCTTGCCTCAGTTCCTCCCCTCTCTGCTCCAGACCCATTTTTTCTGCCAGCAAAGAATCTGCAGACAGCCAATTCATAGCATTCAATAGATCTTCCAAGCACTTCCCGGGTTGCAGGCTGAGTATATTTTAGTCGCTAGGAAAGAAATTGCCTGTAAGGGGATTTATGGCAGTCTTTTCATTTTGGTTTAAGAAGCTCAAGTGGATCAGAACAAAGGCAATTCATTTCCAAACTACATCAGGAACTTATTGGATTAATGCACATTTCGGCTTGAATGGCCTCCCCAAGTAACTTTATGCAACCGTTTATTTTTATTTTTGCCTCCAGTAATATCCAATGACAGTTTATTCGTAATTAGAGTTTATGCAGATTGTGACATGTCTTGCTAACCTGCTTTCTATGCAGACTGAGGATGTGAGAATCATACTTGATAAAAGTAGTTGCTTCAGGCCAAACATGATGTGTGTCAGAAAATGTGCCTAGAAAAAAAACGAGTGAACAATTTTCCACTTGACCCACACTTTCTACACATGGGTCCAAGTGGTTTCTCCCTTGCCCTGCTGCTTTCCCCCTAGGGAAAACCAATTTTCACTCTAAATAGGAGCAAATGTCAATCCGTATAAAACCTGAATTGCTGTTTGTTCCAATTGAGCACTAAAGAGTGGTTTTCCCCGGGGGAAAGTGGCAGGACAAGAGGAAGCATGGATTAGCCTTAAGTGTGTGTGTGTGTGAGAGAGAGAGAGAGAGAGAGAGAGAGAGAGAGAGAGGAGAGAGAGGAGAGAGAGAGGGAGAGAGAATGAATGAATGAATGAATGAATGAATGAATGGAGAAAGAGCTTTAAAATGCACCAGGAAAGAGCTGAACACCCCCCTTTGCACCTTGTAGGGCTCTGTAATTGAAAGTAACATGGAAGAAAGCTGGCAGGTGAGAACCAAGTTTGGAGAAGAAAAGGGTGACTAGGGGAGTCTGTGGTTCTCCAGATGGTGGACTCCACTTTCCATCCATCAGTTGCAGCCTGTATGGTCAATAGTCAGGGATGGTGTGGTCCAACAATATCTGGAGGGCCCAAGATTCTTCATCCCTGGTTCACCTACTTTTGTCTTTCCTGCCTATGCTGCACTTTAAGTCACTGCACACCCCTGACCTTTTTATAGGATATTGGCAAGCTGAGTCTTGCTGCTGCTCTCCTGCATTATTGTGCCTGTAACCTCACTGCTATAGGTAGAGATTCTTCCTATGTCACAAGGTAGTTAGTCTGAGGTACAGATGGTTCCAAACTACTGGTCAGCTCAATTAAGCTACACAAAGCTTACACAGAGGTATGTCTACCGGAAAAGCTAATTGTGATGTGTCTATGTATCAATGATTGCATTCCATCAAGTGATCTACCACCAGAAAGCAGAAGTGCTTCCAAGCTTGAGGGGGACATAACAAGAGAGCCAGTGTGGTGAACCTCACTTCACTACAGAGTAATTTGCCATGTTGCATGTACTACTGCTGCATTGTGGGTTTGCTGGGCCCAGAGAACTACTCAGACATGGTGACACCAACTAGTATCCATGCATGTGTGACATCTTACACAGTGTTGGGCTTAGGTATAACCAAACACACTGGCTTCATCTTGGTTTTCCAACCATTAATATTTACAGTCCACAGACCACTCTGACAGCATTTAGGTCTGGTGATATTTGAAACAGAATTTAACTTTTTCAGGAGGATGAGGTGGAATGTGTTGAATTTCCCTAGTTTTTAAAATAATAATAATTGAATGTTAATGTGAAACAGTGTTTTCATGTGTAAGCACTGTATGGTGGTAAATTGGAGGAGGGGTTAAATTTGGGTTTCTACGATTTGTCTGTTGAGAATAAGAAACAAGTTGGACATGCAGTGCGATTCATGTAGCTATTCTTGGAAGTCCATTGAAGTATGTTCAATGATGCTTATTTCCAGGAAAATGTGCTGAAATCTAAATTCCCAGTTTTAGACTTTGTGCTTCAGTTTCTGCACTAAATACATCAGATTCATTTATTGAAATTCACTATTTGAAATTTTCTATGCATGAAAATGCTTGTCTTGTAGCATTTGGCTGACTTTTCCACATGAAGTATAATTGTGTTCATGACCATTATTGCCACTGGTTGTCATTTCTTAAGGCTGAACTGAGAAGGAAAAGTAGAATCCATAGCCCTACCATGTTGACCAGAAGTAAGAGGATGGCTGTAAAACATTTTTGCAAAAGGAGAAACATTCAATAGCTGGTTAATAGGAAATATGAATAACTTTGCATGCACTCAAGGATAGATATGACCTGCCAAAAGGGCAGGCTGTAGCTGACCTTGCAAACAGGCCTAGAAACAGACTTTCAGAGCAATCCTAACTATAGAATATCAGTGTAACAGGTTGGCATAGTTTGACTCATTCCAAGCTCCATCTGGGAGCCTCTGGAAGGGGCTCTTGCTGGCTGAGTCTGCAGGTGAGTGTGGGCCTAAGTGTTGAGGATTGGGCCCTAGATGACAGGATGGAGCCGAACAGGGTTTTGAATAAGTGTAAGACTCCCCTTTCCCTTTCCCACAACTCCTCAGAAGTTCCCCTTTCAAGATGGCTGCAATGGGCTGTTGATGTGGCTCCAAGATGGCCAAATCCAAACTCTCATCCCAGCGGATTTTGGATTTGGTTTGTGCTGTTCCTAAATACAAAGAGGTTTGGCTGAAAACTGTTTTTCGAAAGAGTAATCCTGTCATCTAGATATAGCCACAGCTTTAAAAAAATGAATATTCTGCTACGGTTTTCATTGTTTTACAGCGCGGCAGAGTTGACGCTGCTGTTCTAGACTTTCAGTTATGACATATGTTCTCCTTGTTGTTACAGTTTCTGCTTTGTGGAGCGTGTGGAATACTGTGTGCCAAAAAAAAATCAGGACTTGTCGTAAGTTTTTGCATGACTTGTATTATGTATCAATAGATGAAATGCAAACTGTCATGTGCCTTGAATTATTTGCTGCTGCAAGACGCCATGCTCCAGCTCCAAAAGGACAGTGGAAAGTGCCCTTGGGAAAGGTAGGTACTTTCCTACTCTGGGCCAGAGGCGAGCGACTGGCAAGATTCAGTTTAATTCTGTGCTGCCCTTGGCCTAATCCCATAGGAGAGGGAAGCCCTGAGGGCGAGAAGGAGTGTAAGAGGAGGAAAAATGGGTGAAAGAATGGAAGGAGGAGGTGGGAAAGCTCTTTGAAAGCTGTCAGTTCAGATCTCTGGCAAGAATGAGGTTATCCAGTGCTATTTTTCTAGAAAAAGAGGTGCCATAACTTGCCTCGTTCCCTTGTTAATAATAATAATAATAATAATAATAATAATAATTTTTATTTATTTCCCACCCTCCCTGGCCAAAGCCAGGCTCAGAGTGGCTAACAACAGTAAAAATAGCATAATTTACATAAAATCACGGTCAATTAATTAAAATACATATGAAAATCAATTCAGAATCAAATTAATGGCAACCATTGGGCTAGAGTTCTATGAGGATTACAGAAGGAGAGAGGAGATCAGACTGTGCCTTGGCCAAAGGCCTGGTGGAACAGCTCCATCTCAGAAAGATGTCAAGTCCCGCAGGGCCCTAGTCTCTTGTGACAGAGCGTTCCACCAGATCGGGGCTACAGCCGAAAAAGCCCTGGCTCTGGTTGAGGCCAGCCTAATCTCCCTGTGGCCTGGGCTCTCCAAGATGTTTTTATTTGAAGACCTTAAGATCCTCTGTGGGACATACCAGGAGAGGCGGTCCAGTAGGTACGAGGGTCCTAGGCCGTATAGGGCTTTAAAGGTTAAAACCATCACCTTAAACCGGATCCTATACTCCACCCGGAACCAGTGCAGCTGGTATAGCACCGGGTGAATGTGATCCCATGGCGAGGACCCCGTAAGGAGTCTCGCCACAGCATTCTGCACCCGCTGGAGTTTCCGGGTCAGTCTCAAGGGCAGCCCCATGTAGAGTGAGTTACAATGGCAATGTAATCCCTTATAATGGCAATGGCACCCACCTGAGAGGTGCTGGAATTGAGTTCCAGCAAGTTCCAGCTGAAAAAAAAGTTATCTAATATTATGATTTATAATGGCAAAGAGCCCACTGATGCAAAACAAAGGACCATCTTACCTAGGCACCTCTTTAGCTTGGCTTTTGATATCTGAGGTGTACACTTTTAGGACCCCTGTTGAAAATAAGCTTGAAAGAAGCATTCTGTGGTAGCCAATATGTCCAATCTGCCTGGTTGTGGCGTACGTGGTGCCCACAATGGTTTGTATGGTTTGCAGATATGCCCACAGGCCCCTAAAGAATGGCAACCCCTGTTACACATACTGAGAAAATGTACACACAGGTGTCAAAAGTTCTGTAGAACTCATAGCTACTTCTTACACCTTTCATATATGTGTTCATCGACATGCTGGGTGTAACTGGGGTCGAAAACTGTATTTCCATGAAAGCTCATCTCCTCCCACATGTGCCTACCTGATTTTCTTCAGATGTCCTTCTATGGCTATGAGTGCCCCACCACATGAAGTGCAGCAGGTGGCTATCAAGCAAAGGGCCTTTACGGTAGTGGCACCTCAGCTGTGGAGCAGCCTAGAGAGGCTCACCGGGAGGCTGGTGAAGAGTTGTTGTATTTAATTCACCTAGGCTTTTAAAATTTATGTTTTGAATCTGGGCTGTACATCATTTTATGCTGTCTCTGGGCAAGGAAGATTTTTCTTATTCTTTTTGGCCGTCTTTTATCATTTATGGTTGGTTTTCGGAAAATCTATCTTCTAGATTCTTCGAATTGTAGAGTTGGAATGGGCCCACAGGGTCATCTGGTCAAACCCCCTGTGATGCAGGCATCACAGTTGAAGAATCCCCATTGCATATACAGTGGTACCTCGGGTTAAGAACTTAATTTGTTCTGGAGGTCCGTTCTTAACCTGAAACCGTTCTTAACCTGAGGTACCACTTTAGCTAATGGGGCCTCCCGCTGCACCGCCACTGCACGATTTCTGTTCTCATCCTGAAGCAAAGTTCTTAACCTGAGGTACTATTTCTGAGTTAGCGAAGTCTGTATCCTGAAGCATCTGTAACCTGAAGTGTCTGTAACCCGAGGTACCACTGTAACGTATTGGCCCTAATATAAGCCACACTTTCCTCCCAAATTCTGACCCTGTAGCTTATATTTGTGACCTTACGGTATGCAGCTAGGAGTGTGGGGCAACCTCCCCCCCCCCCCGAGAGTGAGGAAGGGGAAAGTCCACCGGCAATGCAGCAACCCCCCCCCCCAGTATGTAGCCAGGAGCAGCAAGGAAGGGAGTGACTTATATTCAGGTATTTTTCTTTTCTTTTCTCCTCCCTCCCTCCAATTTTAAAGCTGCGGCTTATATTCATGTGCGGCTTATGTTCGGGCCAATACAGTATTGCTTACAAAATACTTTGTCATCACCTTCCCAGGGGAGTTTTATTTATTTATTTAAATATTTTGGGCCGTGCGGCTATATATCCGTCAGTCCGTCACTCTGCTTTTTAGCGCCCCCCCCCGAACCGCAATTGCCTTCTCTGGCCGAGAAGTCCATGGTAACGTGATCTTTCTTGTCTCCTCCTAGATGATACTTTTCTCAGCCTGCTGTATCTGTGGACTAATTGGAGGAATATTAAATTTTCAGTTCCTTCGGGCTCTGACAAAGAAATCCTCAGCTCTCTATCCTCTGCATGTCACCTCCATGTCCCTGGCTTGCATCGGCATCGGTGGCTGCACTCTGTCCTCGTGGCTGACTTGTCGGCTAGCCAGCTACGAGCAAAGAAGAATGTTTTCAGAAAGAGAGCACTCGCTGCATCACTCCCATGAAATGGGCGAGAAGGTGAGTTGGGCAGTCTTCCCGAACCGTTGCGTTTCTTCCCAAAAGGCTCTTCTTGTGTTCTAATATATTCATTCAACAGTAAGGGGAAGAATTCAATTTTCGGCTTTACAAAGGACTGGGAAATGAAACACTGTCGTTTGGTGCATGCTTCGTTCTGTTATAGAAAGCTATTTTTGGATACCGTATCTCCGCAGTACACCCATTTTAACAAAATGCGTCAATTATCTACATTGTTCCATTGTATAAGATAGACAAATGCTGAGCCGCTAAGTCTAGCACTCCCTAAATAACCTGCTTAATTAATGTGAATATACAGACACACCTCACTGCATGGAAATATTGTTTCCAGTGATATTTTCCTAGAAAAAAAGGTGCCGGAACTCACCATGAACGCCTCCCTCATTCTCTTATAATGGCAATGGTGCCCACCTGAGAGGTGCAGGAACTGAGTTTTGGTGACTTTTGGCTGGGGGAAAAAGCCCTGATTGTTTCCCCCTGCTTAGTACTTTGTAAAATGGAGAGAGTCCAAAGATTAAATCTATGTGGGACAGGGATGGAAAACCCATGGTCCTCCAGATGTCCTTTTGAATGACAACTCACATCGTCTCTGACCATTGGGAGCTTGGAATGATGGTAGCTCGGATCCCAACAACACTGGAGGCCACAGGTGAACTCCACCCCAATGTTGGAGGTCAAGCTGAGCAATCAGCAACCCCATGCAATGGATGTGTTGTTGGTTTGTACTGCTTCAAACTGCAGGTGGAAGAATCAGACGGCTGAATTTCCCCCACATCTTCCCAGAGCATACAAAACCTGCATACTAGGGAGGTTTGAGCCAGGCTTTCTGGGGATGTACAAGGTATTCTTAGCAAGAGAATGCCCTTGGACATCTGCTCCTATACTCTAAAGAGGTACAGTCCAGGGCTAGAGTCTATTGCCAGAAGTTGCTGATTGTGTACATCTGTACATGAAGTACAACTTTCTATATATTGATACTGACATGCTGCCTGTTTCTCTGCCTCATTTGTGACTGTTATATCTATATTAGAGATTGAGGGGTATTGAAATAACCGACCTGCCCAGCTGCCCAGTGGTACCCCCGACACCAGAGTTACCTTCAAGGTATGCTAAATTCTAGAATGCTACAATGCTTGGTTTGGTTTTTAATAACTCTGTAGCAAGTTTAGTTTCTTACAGGAATGCATAATCAGTCTTGGGGTGGATCTACACACAGGGGGAAAATGCTATGAATAAGTCAGAAATTAAATCTTTAAAACAAAAGAAAGAAAACACTATGGAAAATCGCAAAGTTTTTTTTGGTTTTTTTGGTCTCCAGCGCTATCTTGTGTTGTATGTTTACAACACATTCAAAGTGCTCTTTTTTGACTAATGTAGCTGAGTCCTTGGTTGGTGCTTTGAAATCACCCCCAGAAGTCTTTATTCACTTACAATACTTCTAGGAAACATGACACAGAAAACTGCACAGTAAGATGTTAGAGTTGGAAGTATGTTCTTCATTTAACTTATTGATCCTTATTGTTGTTGTTGTTTAGTTGTTTAGTCGTGTCCGACTCTTCGTGACCCCATGGACCAGAGCACGTCAGGCACTCCTGTCTTCCTGCCTATAGGCATCCAAATAAGCATTTTGTTGAATGTACCGGTGGATTGACTTACACCTTTTCAAATCAGTATGCACTTAAAATACAGACCCTTGTCACAGACAGCCAAATCATCTTTTAAAACAAAAAAACAAAAAAAACCTTACACTTTTTTGCATTGCACTTTCCTGACTTAGATTGACATGTTGCAGTGCTTTTTTTCTAGAAAAATAGGTGCTGGTACTCACCATGAAGTTGTTACAGTAAGTGCCACACTTTTTAACAACAAAAAGAGGTGCTGGTACTGCGTACTCATGAGTACCCCCTGAAAAAAACCCCACAAAGCACTGCACAGTTGTAAGCTTAGTGTCATGAGTTAAACAATTTCGTTAAAAAACTGACCATCAATAATCATAATGACTTTCAGGAGCAAAATTCAAATAGCTAACTTTATGTAAGCATTTTTGAATGAATGTACTGAGAATTTATTTCTTATAATAATTTTTATTAGTTTTCAATTACAATAATCCAATAATAGCCTCATTATAACAATGCCAAATTATAATAAAATTACTAATACCAATTATTCAGATGCCAAATTATATAATTTAGGTGACCCCCCCCCCCGCGTGCTAGAATTGAGGGTTTGATGATTTACTTTATTTCTGCATTCCAAAGTCTTATTAATTTCAGTTACATTCCAGTCAAAACAACAATCCCTTATACAACAACTTATATTAACAACTTCCATTTCTATTGACATTAAATGATTTATACATTTACAGTTAAACATTCAAACTATTTCCTTGCTCTTCCTGTGTGTGGCAATTATTCTGTCTGTGATGTTTCTTCCTGTCCTTTTAAAATATTATGTCTATCTTTTCCCGGTTGTTGCTGTTCTCCATCATGCCTTGGGTGGAGATAATATCCTGGCAAGAGCCAGGTACTGAGATGAACTGCGAGTGAAGCCCATTCCCCCCTGTCCCTGGGGCGAACTTGGAAGGATAATTACCCTCAATCATCCTTGTTTTTTCTTTGGCAACGATCTCCTGCTGTCGTGGGTGCTGCCTCCATTAAGGCAGACCGGAACTGGAAGCCCAAATGAACTGAGAATTTAGACCTCCCCCCCCCCCCCAATAGCTCACAAAGGATACAAAACCATGATGTTGCACTTCCCATGTGAGAAGTGCCTAAAACGGCCCTTTATCCATCCATCCTCACAACTCTCCTGAGTTGTTCTCCTCTTTCAACTATTTCAACAAGTTTGGATTTGTTTACACTATGAAAAGTTATATCGGAGGCAGAATCCAGTTATAATGGGTATAATCAGGGACTTTCCTCCTCCTCCTCCTCCTGTATTTTAATGTGATAGTACTCATAGTACTGATACACCCTCCGTTATCTCTGATCATGTAAGCAAGCTCCATAATTTCCTTTTTATAAATGGGGAAACCTAAGCAAACGCAGTAACTTGGTTGACTGAGGAGCTCCTGAGCCTTCCTCCAATACTTGTTTTACTGGATGATATTGGCTTTCACCGGTGACATCCATTGGCTGCTTAATGGCTGAAGGGATGTTAAGTTTACTCATCTCACTCTGTTTCCCAGCAGACAGGTATCTACATCACCACATCCTCACCTCAACCGACATTATCTGGCGCCCTTCCTGGAAATCCCAGCAGAGACCAAGGTATCAAATTGTGACCCAATTGTCATCTCTTCCATAATACAAACATAGGTTCCATTTCTTCCATGGGGCATTATAAAAACAGGACAAGACAGATTTATTGTAAGAAACTGCTTAGGGAGACCATTAGGGAAGTTTTTTTTAATGTTTGATGTGGTATTGTTTTTAATATTTGGCTGGAAGCTGCCCAGAGTGACTGGGGAAACCCAGCCAGATGGGTGGGGTATAAATAATAAATTGTTTTTGTTGTTATTTCTACTGCTACTGCTTGTCAAAGACACTTTTTCAGTCACATGCTATCTGCTGTCTAGGGTGAAGGAAGGACAGATGTCCTGTTGCTGTAAGGAGCGTTGAAATAACCAGGAGGCAAATCCCAACAGCACTGGGAATGAAGGAGAAAGAAGTCAGTAGACCAGGGGTGAGGAGATAAGGAGTCTAGGGCCTTCCAGATGACCTTGGACTCCAACTCCTATCAGCCCCAGCCACCATGGCCAATAGTGAGGGATGATGGGAGTTGGAGTAAAACAACTAGATGAGCCACATCCCTAAAGTAGGTCCACATCTCAATGTGAAATATAAGTTATTGAGAAACAGAAACCTATCAGGACCTAAGGAGAACTGGAGCTCGAGGGCCACCATGAAAAGAAAGTGAAAGCTAAGTTAAAGCGGCAGTGAGGCAGATGCTTAGCACAGGAAAATACCAGACAAGTCGTAAAACTTAGAGGGATGGGTGACAACCAGGCCATCAAGCTTAAGAACATAAGAGCCTTCTGGATCCAGCCAGCGGTCCGTCTAGTCCAGAATCCAGTGGCCAACTAGATGTTTATTGGAAGACCGCAAGCAGAACCTGAGGGCAACAGCACTCTTCTCCCCATGGTTTCTTGCAACTGGTATTCAGAAGTGTACTGTCTTCTGAATTCATAGCCATTTGGGGTAGTAGCTAAGCTTCAAGATCAGTTGCAGGTGTACAGGGGATGTCTTCATTTTAACTTGATGACTTTGTGCTGGAATGGGTAAGGTTGGTGAAGAAGCTTTTGCTATGCTTCCGTGTGTAGCATCCTTCCATTTGGGTGGCTGAAGAATGTCTGGGGGTTTTTTCTAGTTCTCTCATACAATCACTTTTCATTACATCATGTTCCACAGCATTAAGCTCCCCTAACCGATGAGCCGGGGAAGCAGCCTCAGGCCTGTGGGCCGCAAACTACCAAGGCTTTTCCGCGCCCATGACTAAGGGCGCTTCCAGACTGTCACTCTTTTGGGTGGGATTCAATCATACCCCAGGAAATTCAGGCGGTGCAATTGAAGCTGATTTGGAGCCCTCACACAAGTCTGATTTCCAAAAGATCAGAACTTTTCCCTAATAAGCAAAGGGATGAGGAAATGCACGCGCAAGTGTTGGGACGACACTTGCTTAACACAATGTCTTCTAATCTCACAAACAGATCAGAATGATGGCTCATTAAATGTTCATTTATTTATACTTTTCTATGCCACTTTTTCCTCCAAGGAGCCTGAGGTGGTGTACTTAGTTCTCCTTCTCCTCATTTTATTTTCACAACAACCCTGTGCGGAGTAGGTTAGGCTGAGAGGGAACAACTAGCCTAAGGCCACCTTTAGAGCTTCATGACCAAGTGGGGATTTGAACAATGGTCTCCCAGGTCATGGTCCAACACTCTAACCACTGCACCATGCTGACTCCTAATAGTCAGTGTCATCCAATCTCTCATTGAACAGATTGTCTGGCAGCTCCATATTGTCATTGTGTGGCAATGCACCCAGGGGCTGATCATTCTGGGTGGAATAATTCTAGGAAAGAAAATCTGGCACAGGCCAGATGTGAGCTTCAGTCCTTACGTTGCTTAAATCTGTACTGGCTAATTAGCAACATGCAAAGCTGACCAAAAAAAATGCCTTTAATCATAACTCCCCATTTTATGCTTACAGGAAATGACAGACAACATGTGTAATGGAGGCCCACACCTAATTTATAATGGAAGAGCCTACTGAACAGTTTACAGTTTTCAAGAAGAACAACTACTTTCAGGATTTTCTTTAAGAGGCAAAGATGTAGATGGCAGCAACTTTTGAGAGAGGGCACTGGAAACATGGCGGCTTTTTATTTGCAATAAGTTCACAGCTGAAAACAACAACAGCACAGTGGCATCTCCTTGCAGAGATTCGTCTTGATTTTCTCTCCCGTTATTTGAAGATATTTTACTGCATATTTTGACGATACACAGTAGTGATAACGTCCTTAATGTTTTCTTCTTCTTTTGTTTGAATGATTTTTGGATGGCTGTGATCATATTTTAAAATGAATTTTTCAGACTCTTACTCGGGCTCGCCTTATGACGATTTTCTGAAATTAAAACTAAAACACAACAACCCGCAGACGTGAAAATGGAGAGCGTTTCAACAATGGATTGCACAATGGCAGGAATGGAAATGAGACTTGAAAGGCTCGCCTTTCCTATGCAGAGCCTAATGAATGAATTATGAGCATGCTGCAACAACACGGATGTCTTTGTTTTGAAAGACAGAATGCTTTAAGGATGCCATAAGTCAAAACCTGAACAATGCCTTGCTGTAAAGAAACTGTAAATATTTCCAATTTGTGAGGTATATTTCATAATTTGTTCATACAAGATGTCAAATAAAAAGAAACCTAAAAGTGTGACAGTTCAGAGTATTTGTGAAAATGTTCCACAATCATCCTGAAAAAGATACATGGGAACAAAAAACCCTGATTTTGACTGACCTGTACCTCCTAACCACTACAAACAATCTCTCACATCCTGACAGAGTGGATCAGTCTCCTGGCATGGATGTTGGATTATTTTAAAAGGAAGATGGCGACTTCACTTCCTTTCTGTTGCCTGACCTGGAATAGTGTTGCACTGAGTACCCAAACAGACACAGCTAGTTTAGCACAGGGCTATCCAGATTATTTGCCCAGGACTTAGTTAAACACATCAGGTTGTCCTCTGTATCCACAAACAAACTGTGGGTGATAGATGCTTTGTTCTGGGCAGACCTGGGACGGATCTACACTTGTCGTTTATAACGTTAAAAATATGTTATTAAAATGTGACACTAGAGGGCACTGCAGAGCAGCGACCCACTGGCAAAGGGAAACTGCCATTAAGCATTATAGATCGTTATACTTTATAACGCTTAGAAGATCAATGCAGATCCTGCCCTGATGTTTAACACCACCACCAGACCAGGGGGTCAGCTGACTAGCACACACAAATTCTAACATGTAGCAGAGGAAGCAGAAGGAGCAAGGCTTTGATGCAACAGCCCTCCTTTGACTGCCTCCATACCGACCCCTACCTACAATCACAGGGATTACAACCAAAGTATAATTAAATTGCTTGGTCAAACATTGCTGCCAAGTTCACAGACTCATCCTTATCACAAGCAAGTGTATAACAACACTCAAGTAGTTCAGCCGAAATTCACAGTAAAGAGGCTTCCTCTGCCAAAGGTGCCGCTACAATGCAGAGTGCTTGTCCTCTGCGTAATTGACAATCGGGATCATGTGTAAGCCTTGCTTCTGGGGAACGATGATCTGGCTTACACCCAGGTCATAGATTGCAATAACATAGACAATACTACTTTTCAGGGCACACAGATCTGCAATGTGTATATCTGCGGAAGTAGGATCTGGGCCAAGGACAATAAACCCAAAGTGTAATTGAATTGCTTTGTCAGACGTTGCTGCCAAGTTCAGAGTATAGACAGGTAGGCAAAGGACTTTGTCATACATTTGTGCACAGCACGAAAGCTCTCACAAATGCAAAACATGAAGCTGCCAAGAATTTATGTTCAGGTCACCCCTTTCATTAAATCAAACAGAGAGGCATCAGTATAAGCTAGATCTATTTGGTTTGATTATTACAATGTATTTATTCAAATAGAATAGCTAATCTTCCCCTTTGCTAGAACTAGAGAGATGATATAAGTGGATCTTGCTGTAAATGTTTGATGCATCCTTGAAGGGGGCCATTCTTGCTGCCATTCACCCCAACCAGCGGCCTGCATTACCACTGTAAAGCAGTAACTTTGGCCATGAGTTATATGCACAGTCACAGGAAGCACAACTGAGTCACATTGCTAGCATTCACCATTTGTGGTCAAATAGAGACCTCATGCATTCCCGTCATTTCGGGAATTGGCGGAAATGACTGGCAGAATCCGAGATCAGGGAGAAGAGTCGGTGAAAGAAGACTGGAAGAAATTTAAAGACTATTTACAGAAATATTGCAAAATTAAGGAATCTTAGAAGGATGTTGGATAGAAACTAAGAGGTTTTTAGCTGTAATGCTTTAAGAGATATGAAAAAAAGGTTAACAATTGGGTAAAAGTTTAATGGTAAGGATTTGCTGAACTAACAAACTGAACTGGAATACAAAAAAGGGAGGTATGAGGAGGTCCGGGGAAATAAGTGTAGGGAAGATAGGTTTGGAAAATCAATGTCTTTTTAACTGTTTTATTTTGTATGTTTCCTTTTTATTCTTTTTTTTTGTTATATTTTAAAAACGTTATTCTTTTTTTTGTACTCTGTATTTTTTTTTGTATTTCTTGAAACTTTAATAAATATCATTAAAAAAAAAAAAGAGACCGCATGCATTCATCCCTCTGTTACAGGGATGGCTCGTGTATCTTGCCTTGAGAGATACAATTTTCATCTTTCTGGTCCTGTGAATAAGACCTTAGGGTCCAGCCTTAGACTCCTTTCACCCTTTGCTACTTCCACTTTCCACTGCAGCTCTCCAATAAACTTACTGCCTGCTGCAATGCTACAGGTATCTAAGTGACTTGAGACCACTACAGGCAGTGGCACAGTGTGGGTTGCCAGCCCCCGGGGCTGCACGGGGGGGGCATGTGTATGAGGGAGGGGAACAGATGGAGTGCACAAGTGCATTCAACTGCCTGACGGCATCCACGTCACCTGTGAAATCACAGCTGCCACAGAGATAAGAAGAGTCATTCCGTTGTCTAGAGAAGTCACTTCCTGGCTCGCATGGAGAAGCCAATTTCAATAGCTGACGGAGGCACACAGCTGTATTGAGGCAGCACCAGGTGTTGAATTTTTGTGCCCTTAACAATTTTTCACTCGGGGCAACTGCCCCTGTGCCCACACCCCCGCTATGCCACTGACTGCAGGGCTAACAAGCAGGATACATTTTCCTTATTTAATTATACTTTTGTCTGCTTTTGGATTTAGGGAGGCCAGCTAGAACTGGCATAGACAGAGCAATGTTATTATTCTAGAAAAGCTATAATGTTAAGAACTGGAGCCTGAGATTGCTTTATATATATATAACATCTCCTCTCTCCCTATCTGCTTTTCCTTGTGTGTCAAATCTTTTCAGATTGTAAGCTTGAGGGCAGGGACTGTCTTACTACTGGTATTTGGCTTAAGGGCAGGCTATCAATGTTTAAAATAAATACGCTCTAGATCAGGGGTCAGCAAACTTTTTCAGCAGGGGGCCGGTCCACTGTCCCTCAGACCTTGTGAGGGGCCAGACTATATTCGGGGGGGGGGGGGATGAACGAATTCCTATGCCCTACAAATAACCCAGAGATGCATTTTAAATAAAAGCACACATTCTACTCATGTAAAAACATGCTGATTCCCAGACCGTCCGCGGGCTGGATTTAGAAGGCGATTGGGCCGGATCCGGCCCCCGAGCCTTAGTTTGCCTACCCATGCTCTAGATTTTGATGGCTTGTTTAATAATAGCAAAACTTTCACTGCTCCTAGAAAGGCCCTTTGTCCCTCACAAAGGGGTGGGGGGAAGGAGGGTGATTTTGTGGGAAGCACAGGCAATTGTCAAGAAGAGGAGCCAATCCTGTCTTGACCCCTTCTCACAATCTCTTGTGACTAATACTGATACTCAGAATGCCCACATTTCACATTGGGAGCTGTACTGAAGATCACGGGCAAGCCACCCATTTTCTCTGCAACGAAGATTTTCACTCAGTTGTGCTTTCTTGCTTTGTTTTTAAGAACACTTTATTAAGACTTTCCATATGAAAGAAACAACAGAACCCAGAGGATGTACACCTATATATTTGGTTGCAGTGAACAGAATAGCAAAACAGAACGAATAAACAACATAACGTCTCCTACATATTTGCAGTCCATATCACACAGACAAATAAAGTAATCAGGGAACCATCAATAGAGCTAATCAGCTAGCCAAGCATAAAGAGAAGGCCTATAATATCACTCAGTAAATCTGCATGAGCTGATGGAGAAAGCCGCTCATGCTCTGTGACCGAAACATATTTGATCAGTCACTTTTAAGTATGCTGTGAATCCATGCCAATAATTAACTATTTCCACTTTGCTTTGATGCGCAAGTTCCCTTGCCATCGATGGCAGATTTTTTCCTAATGCTAACTGCTGTCTCAGGAAGGGAGAGGTGATTTCCCACCCCCACCAGTATTATAGATGCGGAGGGAAGGTTTCACCTTTGCCTTCCCAAGCATGGCACACCTGAGAACACTGGTCATCCCCATGCCTGCTAGTTAATTTATAAAAAATTGCAGTGGGTGGATTTTGGTCTTGTAAATTTCAGCGGCGCCCTGAGCAAGACCAAAATTTGGTGCCCCCTGCCTTCCATTCTGCTCAATTTACTACATCATCATTGTGACTCCCTATGACATCACCTAGGCTCAGCGCCCAGCACAGCTGATTGGATGGCTCTGAATATATTATTGCCCAATTTTAAGCTATTCTCTGAAAGCTAAACTGTGTCAGAATGACTTGGAGGTGTGGGGAGGAATCTCCTTCTGGTGTACATTAACATTTAGACAGGCTGTAGAATATTTATGCCTGTGATTTATGGGAAATGAACTATGTGCTCCCATGAACAAAGATAGTTTGACTTTTGACAGTCAAAAGGGGGGAAAACCTCAGTGCAGATTATGAGGGAGAAATTGTTGCATGTGATATATGGCTGAAGACTTTGCACTGCCCTCTCTTGAATGCA